ATTTATGTTTTATTTTATTGAATATTTTAAAACGAAAATATTAATTTATATTATAAAATATAATTATTTTGAATATGATTCCATTCTGAGCTCTTATCTGGATTTGAAGCAATGGTAATTTTTATTAGTTTAGTTTCTCAAGAAAACATTAATTGGCTTTATTATACTTTAATGTTTATGATGCATATCCCCTAAATGAGTCATTGGCTAAATTCATACCTTATGCTATGTTATCATATATTTTTGATGAATATAATTTGGCCAATAAACCACAATAATCTGTTTTCACATATTGCATGAAGATATACATTTTCATTTACAAGCACAATGCAGGTTCATGCACTATAGGAAGGCATTGTGTGATTGTCTCATTTTAATTTTATGTGTTGTATGAATCCAACAATGGGTTGATTCAGACAAAAGCATACACTTTACCTACACTGTGGCTGAGATTAAACACAGCTTGCTGGTTCATTCAAATTCAGATAATTATTTAAAACAAACCAACTTGATGATTTAGGCAATATACTAAATTGCAATTAGTCTGAAGTGAAAGCATTATCTTCTCTGGATCCAATGCTATGTTATTAATACAAATAAACTTTCTTTGGATTAAAGATATTTTCTGTTATTTCTCAGCAACAGCCTCCATAAGCTTGTCATTTTTTGAATTGTGCATCTTCAAAAATCGTAAGTATTTGAATGTAGAGGATTATCATTCAATTGTAGTTGTACAAGTAAGGCCAAGCCATACCGTGCCCACCCACCTGCATCAGCGGGATCAGAACAGCACATTTCTTGCTGGGAGAAGTGATCGATATCTTTGAGAGAAACTGGCCTCTGAATAAGTCTTGAGACACGAATGTTAACTATGTTCCTTTAAAATGTGATCAATTTTCAATTCATCTTTCTATAATTTGACACAAGCTACGAAATGCATCCTCAAACAATATCACATTTTATGCACAGGAAGCGTTTTCTATGGAAACTATTATTAGGATATATTTTGCAAGAATTGATTAAAATTACCTTTAACACTTGAGCTTTTGGAATGACTAATTGTTCCTTTAAAATAGAGATTTTGTTGTAAAGAAAGAGAAAGAAGATATTACTATTATAATGGCATTTTGTGGATTTTGGTTATAGATTAGACCATTTAAATTAGTCAATAGCAGAGGTTTCCTTTTAGTTATCTTTTTTTTTTTTAACATACAAGGAAAAATTGAAATGTATTTACTGTATGGATACTTTCAAAATACATGCAACTAAAGGCTGCACAAATATTATATATTAGAATAATTGTTAAAAAACAAATATACGCTCTTTGTTAGCAATATCAAAATTTCCAGTAGCTAATAAGCATTCTCATTAGCAAA